CTCGATCCTATGGATAAAAATGGACCGATGAGTGGTCGATGTGGTCCTCAAACTGACCAAATGGAAAAATTTCTGTTTCAAACATTTGGCTTCAAAAATATTCCAGGCAAAGATATTGTTCAAGGTGTACGATCATTTAAATTGGACAAACCTCCACATTCTTTGAATTCAAAAACAGAGATTCGATTTCCCTCGAATACTGCCAATTCATTCATCATGTCTGCACAAGAAATCATCGAATGGCAACGTTCATATAAAGTTTATGCTGATAAAGGTATTAAAGGTATGAATAAAGAGTTTCTTACACGTGCTCTACAAGGGAAAAGTGAAAATGGTGAAGAAGCTTTTCGTATGAAATTTGTTGTACGTATCTCAACATGTCCAATCTTGATGGAATTCGACGCTAAAATCATACCTCGTAACTTAGATGAAGAATGGCCTAACCGAATTAAACTTGTTTCAGTGACAGGTATTGATTTTGCTGGTCGAAAACATGATGTAGGTGACATTCTTTATTATTTATCAAATTGGAGAGAAGTTTTTCAAATCGATCCACAATTAGGTTTGCCATTAGTTTATAACGGAAGAGATTTTTATGCAAAACCCGATGGGCCACAAGGCAAACTTCATAAAGATCGTGTTCGAGACAGTTTGATGCGTATGGTTAAACTACGATTACGCGCATGCGATGCCGAAGGTGTTCAGATTGTTGTTGAAACAGGTATTGGACTTGGTGTATTTGCTGGTAACCATATTGGAATCGATGCAAAAGTACGAGCATTATCAGCAGAGACAATTCGAACAGTACTTCAAGATGATGTATCATCATACAAAAACATTTGTGCTGTCATATTAGCTTTACCTAGATTCAATAAAAGTAGATCGAATCATTGTGTTACCGATACTTTCGATGATTTTGTGAATGAATTTAGCAAATCAAAATACAATGGTCCTATACCTGTAATGATTGTAGATCAAGATATGCATCGATTGACAGTAGCTATTGCTCGTCGTGGTTTTATTGTTTCTGAATTAAATCCTGCTGATTCACATGGTGTTTTCGGTGAATATTGGCAAAATCGAGGACCGGCTGTAGAAGAAAAATTAGCTTTGACAACAGTTGGCCTACTCGTACAACATCACCTTATCAATAAAGAAGTTCTTAATGAAAATAACTATCGTTTCTTGAAAACAAATGAAGGATCCATCTTGGATTGGCGGACCACTGTATATAATAATAATAATAATCAGAACAATGAGAGAGTGCCCAACGATTGCTGTTCACTACAATAAAACTAATTGAAACTATAATCTTTTTTATTCTATGTTCAAATTGTGCTACATCTCTCAGTTTGGTTGAAAACATGTTACACAGAGAGTTTTGTTAGTTTTGAAGTCTTTCACTGTGTTAATCAACATGAGAACGAAAATACATAACTCGATCTCATACAGTACATGTGGTGTCTTGTGTCTAGCTTTGTTTTGTATGTTTTCTTTTTCTTTGTATCATCTTTTTATCAAATGCTTTTTCGTCGCTCTATTTTATTTTGTATTAATAGTATGCAGTGTATGTTAACATAATGATGATATGACTCGAAAAGTTCATATTTTTTTTTTACATTTGGTTGCTGTGACGAATGTGCGATTAAAATAATAAATCAGCATGATTCTATTTTCTCTTGTATTTATAATAATAGTCATTATTGAAAGCCTTAGTTATTATATTTGAAAATGACATGAAACAAGTTAGTTATGATATAATTAAGGATAGAAAAAATTGTGTTATGCTCAACTGTGATATTTATAGAAAAAGTTGGCATATGTACAATATTTTTATAATAGCTATAATGTTTTTCATATTTTGTTTCTTTCATGTTTTTATTTTCATTTTATTTCAAATCGTAAATTTTGTTTTTCTAAGAAGAACAACTAACAAATTGTTTGTTAAGATTATAACATATTTTAATTTCTTTTAAACGATTTAATGAATCCGTTGATACTTGTATAGCTGATGAAAATAATTTTGGATTAAGTGTAAGAAATGAATTTTTAATAGTTGTTGCTGTTGGATTTCGCATTGATTGAATATCAGGAATGTTTAATGATTTATATAGATTTTCAGTAGCTGTAAAAAAATCAGTTGCTGTTGTAAAATGGCAAGTACCTATGAAAAACTAAATTAGTTAAAAAGAAGAAATTTGATTTTTTAGAATTAAACTAACCATGTTTTTCCCATTGAGATTGCATGAGATATTCATCGGGCATCATACAATAAAATCGTTTAATTAAAGTTGTATTTAATTGTTTTTCATTTCGACAATTACGTGGATGGGCTCGTACTGATGACGCCTTCGATGCTTGAGGCCATAGGCCGTGAACAACTAAACCAAAATTATTACTAGTACGACATTGAAATTCTTTATTTCGAACTGCTTGTGAAAGTGATGCACAATATGTTGGTGACCTATGTTTTTCTATGTAAAGATATAGATAAATTATTTTAGAAAATTTACCATGAAAGTACAAGCTGAAGAAAAGTAGGTTTGGCGTTTGTATTACTCCATTCATTTAATTTTGATTTCCAATCATAATCATATCTAGTTTCCAATTGTGATGGTAATGGACACAAATTGTTAACAGCCGCTGCATCCACTATGCAACTTATTGTCATACAAGCAAATAAACATATTACTGCTACAATTATATAAATAATATACTTTCCCAATAGTAGTAACGATACTTTAATTTGTACTCATACTCATAAAATTTAAGATATCAATAATCAAAAGTAAAGACTTACCTATAAGATTGGTTTCCATGAATATCTGTCGATGTCTAGTTACCTACAAAGGTACTTATTAATTCAAGATTATTTATATTCTTCACTTCGTTTTTGTAATTTATGGATATTGGACTTAGATTAGAGCAGAGGATGAGAAAGAAAAGTGACGATTACACTCTTGGTTTTAGTATCAGCAGATGTATGATTTCCTACGTAAAAATGAAAAAATATTTAACGACATTTATTTTGGCATCGACAGATGTATGACTTCGCATATAGAAATGAAAGAACAGTAAAATACATTTTCGCTAAAAATAATGCCTGGAGTTGCGTTAAATGATATTCGAACATAGCTTCACGAGAAAAATATCATTACTTTTCATTAAATTAGAAGTGGTCATTGAAATAAGTAAACTTTCTATCGAATTTTCACGCACAAATTGACTTTTAACGAAGATTAGGTCGTTATTCTTTGACGCATGAGATATTTTAACGCATATTATTCGATATTTTCATTTTTAACAAAAGTTATTTAATTATTCATCGTTAAATATACCAGAGCTGGGCAAGTGTAGACTTTCTCAAGTACGAGTACTTCGAGTAATATACCCAGTTCTGGATTATAATCTTTGTTTTCTTTGATGAAACACTTCTGATCTTAAATATCGTTTATTTGCTGATGTACTTTATACAAAATTAATTTTCAAAAATTCATATTTACAAAATATAATGTGTATCGTGTATCTAGATCAATTAATATGTTACAGTCTTTTTATCAATTGAAATAAGAGGGTGCTTTAGAGTAATCATAGATTTGTATGGTTTGCAAGCAAAATTCATTATATTCCTCCTACAATGAAAAGATCCACGAACACAGTGTGTATATGGACCTAGGTCTTCGTCTTTACGACACCTACAACTACACCCTGTCAATGTTTCGAAGTTTAGAAAGCTGAATAGTAGACTGTTGGTAAAAGCAATAATAATAATCCAATAAAATATAAAGAATGACTATTAATAAGTCAAATAAAAACTAGTGCGCTACGAAAGAAAAGAAAAAAAAATTTTGTTCGAAATATTGAAATAAATAAGACAAAAAAATCTCTCTAACAATCGATTACTCTTTGAAGACAATTATCATTTGTGAACAAGTGCCCAACTGACACGTTTAGTATTAGTATTTAAATTCATTTTGTCTACCTGCTCTATTGCCACTCATTAGTCCTATACCCAGGTGAAACAATCCTATTGTATGATCTTGTACGATTCTTACAAGATCATATGGAAATCATATATGATCTTGTAAGGTTCTATATGCTCACTTCAAAGCCAACTATTCTGATGAAATCTTATCGTACGATTCTATATGATCTTACTATTAGATCTTATTAGATCCATGTATGATTTTCCAGAGTTGCATAAAAAGGTATATAGCTCATTTCTTCACTTTCGTTTTATATGGCTTCCATTTTTAGGGGCTGTTTTATCATAAATCCACTGAGAGCATCAAATAAAATAAATAATTAAAGTTAAGTTTAATTATTTGCTTAATTTGATGCATTTATGAGCAAATAAATGCATCGAATGAAATGAATATTTTTTTATTAAATAAATATTTACTTTGTTTCATCTAATCGTCGATATTATCTAAAATAAAAATAAATAGAAGATTTAAATTAAAGAAACACTCACTTTATTTGGCTACAGGGTTGATGTCATCTAAAATAAAAAGCAACAATTTAAAAAAAAAATAATTACTTCGTTTGGTCTGAGCGTAAACATTACATAAACAAAATAAAGGATAATTTAAATTAAGTAAATATTTATTTTCTTTATATTAATCGCGGATATCATCTAAAATGAAAAAAACAATTTAAAAAAAAATAAATGCTAACTTTATTTGCATTGGTGTTTGAGATCATCTAAAATAGAAAAAAGACAATTTAAATTAAATAATCGTTTACTTTATTTTGTTTAATTGTCCATATTATCTAAAATAAAACCAAATAGACAATTTAAATTAAATAAATACTTATTTTTTCATATTGATACAATCTAAAATAAAAAAGACAATTTATGTTAAACAGATACTCACCTTATTTGGTCTAATCGTAATGATCCTCTAAAATAAAAGAAAACAATTTAAATTAAAAAGATGTTTACTTTATTTGGTTTAATCGTCGATATTATCTAAAATAAAACTAAATAGACAATTTAAATTAAATAAATACTTATGTTTTTCGGATTGGCCGATGACATCATCTGAAATAAAATAAAATATAATTTAAATTGAATACATACTTTCTTGAATTGCATTTATTTTTATTAATTGGTTTTCTTGCACTCTTTCGCACTCTATATTTAGTGCTTTTAACAGGTTGATTTATTTTCGTTTCAAATGTGTTCTATTGATACATATGAGTAATTAAAGTAGCTTATAATAAATATATATATGTAAAAAAAATTACTACAAAAGCTACAATTTTAATTATCAGTTTCTGATGATGAGTCATTTTTCTTGTTGTTAAGCTTTGTGTTTGTTGTCGCTTTTTGAGATTTTTACCAGAAAAAGAAATAAATGAAATGAAATGGTAGTATTTCTTAATTAAATGTCATTTGAAGTATCAGCAAAAAATAGAGTGATATATGAGGGCCACGGATTCAAAACTAATTTAAGTTCAGTTTTAATTGAAGAATAAGAATCATTGGCTACGATTCTTTTCTGACTTGCCTTTCTCAAATGAATCGAAATTTAAATGTTGATTTATGTCAATCATTTTCCAATACTTCGGCATGTACAAGAAAATCCTAATATGTACGCCTAGTTTAGACAAGTGCATGGATTTGTCTAGGCTCCTTCGAGCTGGACAGATAGTGGAAGACTAGAAATTTCTCAAGGCTATGACTTCCTTCTTTCAATGCTTAAATCGAACAGTTCTCTCTTCTCCATCATTGAAAGTTTATTTAATATATTTCTCCGAGAAGAAACTCTGAATAAAAGTGTTATTTAATGCATGAGACTTTCGTTATAAAAACTATTTACATAAGACAAATCTAAATTATGATCCCATAAGATCATATAAGATCTTACAAGATTCCGATCATCAGATTGTGCAAGAATATTACACTAAGATGTTTGTATGATTTCGTAAGATCATACAATATGAATCTTACAACATCCGACGTCAGTAAGATCTTGTAAGATCTTATATGATCTGTGTATGATTTTCTCACCTGGGTAAGCACATTCATGGAAAAATGAGAATCCATTACTAATATTTGGAGAGTATGTAAAAATGATGATAAAAATAAACTAATTGGTTATGTTATTGAAAACATGATAGTTCAAGAAATGTTTGGTAACGTATCCAATATAATGATCCAGGACATTTACATATACAAATATTAAGTTCATTGAAAATGTTGCACACCATATTCACGTATTTGAAGAGAATTTGTTGGAATGTTACCAAAATTAACAAAAACTGATTCGATTATCACTAAAAATTCACATATGTTCAACTTCTTCTTTTTTATTAATAAATAAATCTGAAGCCTGTTGCACGCAGTTGCTGAGGTCTGTAATGGAGACTTCTGTTGCTAGGTGTCTGTATTGAGGAGTCGGGGGGTGGGGAGCCAAAAAACTTGAACTTAAAGCTTACACTAACTATTTTCTTCGAAACTATATGAGTTCCACAAAACTGAACCTTCCTATAGTGGACACTTTTGAAAAGTCCGCAAGGTGTCCACTATAGAGAGGTTTTGATGTATATGTGAAATTTTCCCATTCCGACAGTGCAGCCAATAAGATATCAGCGCTGGATTATCAGACTGGCAACCTTTACTTTACTTGGCTAGCAATATATTTCATGTTTTGCCATTTTATTCTCACCCGTTAGTTTGGTTAGGAAGAGCTGAGTGTAAGTGGCATATTCTTCGTGATATAAATACGCAATCACGGGTATTTTTAGATGGTGTGCGCTCGACTTTAGCTGATGAGTTGCATCTAATCAGTTTTATTGTAAATTGTCCTGTGTAAATGTGATTCTCGAAGTAGATGTGTGTCAGAGAAAAATCTGACTCTTAGAATTTCATTTACACAAAGCTGCACTTAGGATCCTACTGGGATTCGTATCAAAGGGGATGTAGTTCTGACATTTAAATCCTAGGTTAAGTCAATCCGACATTATCGGTATCTAAGTCTACCCGAATCATATTTTTTTCTGGCTAAATATTCGATTACTCATATATTTTTTCAGGCGCTTTGATTCTTGGAATTTCTAGCCGCTATAACTCGAAGAAAGTAATATAAAAAGATATATGTAAATGAGATCATATCTATTATTTAAAATGGACCATAATCAACTATTGCTTAAGTGCACTCAAGTAAAAGAAGCGACTAGCCATCAGTGATACTCCTCGCGAGCATCGGCGAGCAACTAGTCGCTGATATTACAAGTTTACTGTAGATTCACCTTACTAAAGATTTGTGTAAAAGCTAAATTTTATTGAGAATACCGCACGAAGATTTTCTCAACGAGAAATTCCTATAAAACTTTGACTTTCCAGTTAGACAATGAAATTGAAGAAATATGGAATAGTTCACAACATAAGTAACGTTCATCAACATTGAAAGTTATTTCGCTATGGGCACTAGACCAACGAAATAATGACATAGATATGCTTCTATTTTTATATAAAAATGATATATGTACAATGACGACCTAAAGAGAAATTATTAATATTTGTAATATGTTGTATATTACATACTATAGATATATTCAGGTAGTTAACATAAAATATTCAAAGATATTATTGCGTATGATAAAGTTTATACTTTAGTTGATTATAACAAATAAAAATGGTGACTTGTGCCATGGAAAGGATCT